GTATCGGTTCATGGTATCGGTTAACTTTTACGAGTATGAGTACACACACATTTTACAGTATCGGCCCCGATACCCGATACCAGTATCGGTATCGGTGCATCCCTAAAAAACATATATGACTTACTCATGAAAGTGGCCACTTTCATGAATAAATCATATATAAATCATATAAGGCTTACATGATTTACTCATGAAAGTGGCCACTTTCTCATTACTTTTATATATTTTTTTAGTAAGTATACAAAACATACAAGTTTCATTATATAATTTTTCAAGGGATCTTATATGTGTTTTCACTCTTGTATGCTTTTCATACAAGTTTCATACAAGACAGATAAAAACTTTATACGATTTATATATATCTTTTCCATATGGGAGATAACATAAAGAAGAAACAGAAACATGTAAACCGTAAACCGCTGAAACGTTAATCAAACTAGTTATTCTTATTTAGGTTTCTTTTAAAATCAGTGACACACAAGACAATACTCAGTCATAGGTGTATAATGTGAGATTAACACAGTGTAACAAGCTTATTTTTGGCAACTTTTAGTCCACCTGTGGAGGCGCAGAAAACATAACTATAATTCTGGCAGTGGGTGTGTTTGCTTCAATCATGACCAATCACGCACTCCGTTTTTCAGTCGCTCGAAACAAGCGCAGTTGGCTGTGATGGTAGTCTGACAATTTGGTGACTGAGAGAAGAGAGTGGGGCAGGCTTCACAACGAAAAACTTTACCCAGAGGAAATTGATGTGGCTGTGTGGGAGGTGTAAAGTCTTGATGAAAGAATAAATTACAACTCGAGCAGGCTACTGACAGTTTGAGGAGATTACATTACTGCAGCTTGAGGGAAGTAACAGACTCGGTTTTCACAAGTTTCTCTTTCCTTGAGAGAACTCTTAGATAAGTCATGGAAACAGTTCAGTGACATGAAGCGAGACGCCAAACACGTTGGCAGAAGTTGTTGATTTGGCACGGACAGCAGGTCATTTACCAGCTCGTTTATAGAGGAAACGGCAGCCTTACCCACATGCCATGCTTCATTATGCAATTATTACTTCTGTACATCTGACAATCTGTTATGTTATTTTCGCATATCTGACAATGTCCCACAGTTATAAAGATTACAAAAAGCTAGTGCAAGAAATTCTAGGGAAGTTAATATTAAAAAGCTACGGCAGACAAACATCACTGGAAACAAGATATGTTTCTGAATTGTGAGCGTGGGAAGCGCCAGCTGGAGGAGTTTGTTTTACACACCTGCTCCAAGTCAGGTTAATTGACTCAACAGAAAAGGTTCAAGCAAGTGGGAGTAGGACAGGAAAAAACTATGAAAATTCACTAACATATAGACAAGTATGTGCAGGCTTTTCCTCAAAAATCGAGCGTCTATTGGAGAAGAGATGTGTGCATGACAAATGTGCTGCATGCAGTCACTATTGGTTTTCACACAATGTTAAACAGTGAGTCCTGTGTGTAAGCATCGTCTTGATTTTCTGAAATCTCCTGTTTGTTTGAATAAACAGTATGTGTTGTAATCATCACCGCATCCTTTTGTCTGAGCTGCAGACCCAACTCAAGTGATCTTACAGTTTGCTTGGTAAATTCACGAAAACGGCACCTGTTATTTGTACTCGGAGCTTTTCGCTTATCGCATCAAATCGGCGGTATAGGGGGGAAAAAAAAGGAAAAAGCAAAGCTGATTCTATAACAGATGTGAAACTGATGAATGTGCAATGCTAATGCAGCATTTAGGAAAACTAGAACCAAGAAATAAATGAC